TGAATTGTTGTATGCGTTTTCCCGTCCAATTCAATAACTTAAGGAAAACTTGAAGATTAAAAAAGTGCTGTTCACGGTTAATCTGGAGTATTGAGATTCACAATTTATTAAATGAACAACTGGAAATCATTTTGTATGCAAGTATAACATGTGTGGAGAAGAACCCTCTAGCTAGTCCGTCATTTATCCTTTCACCTTAATTTCATGTTTTTGTCAATTCTGTAATTTAATTAAGTTTAATTTACTTTTCATCAAAACCAAACACCCATCCATTATTAAATTATATTATTTAGTTAGTTTTCTTTATTGTTAGTCTTTTAATTTAATTTCCGTCCATTTCAGTCCTAGTGTTTAATTTGATTGTTTTCATTATTTTGAATCATTTTAAGTGTGTTTCGAGTTATTAGAGTTTTAGCCTAGTTTTGTGTCCTTGAGTCTTATTTAATATTTTTAAATTAATTTAGAATAGATTAGCAATCCCTCCTAATCCCCGGCCTAGAACGATACCCTACTTACGTACTCTACTACATTTGATAAAAAGAGGGTTTAATTTGTGTGTTAACTTATTTTACGCATCAGTTGTCACCTAAACGGAGTTAAATTGTGCACTGAAAATAGTGGAGTTTTTTCCCCGAGATAAATAAGTACTTACTTCTTTGGCAACCATTTAAGTGTGGTTCAATTGTTATACACAAACCGTAAAGGAGTCGTGTTGTTCAAGTGTCATTGGTATGATACAAACCCAGACAAAGCAGGCAGTCTCATTCAAGATATGTACTTGTTATCTGTCAACACAAACACTTGATGGTTTGAGGATGATCCCTATATCCTTACCAATACAGGGAAACAAGTATCCTCCCTTGATGATCCAAAGGCGAGGGGTAGTTGGAGGAAGTATTACAATTCATATTGCACAGAAATATTTGGGACTTTCCTGACCTAGAGTGGAATGAAAATGAGGATACTGATGATGAACAAATATTCACCAAGAGGATTCATCCGCAACCACCCAAAACCTTCCCGGACGGAGCAACCACATCGTACAACCACCATTCGAGATGTTGGGTGTCTCCCCAGTTGAAATAGATGCATTATCTATTAACCTCGGGTGCCGACTAGCAATTCAGCGGAATTCCTTGCTTGACTATAATACCGATGAATCAAGCAATGAAGCAATATGAAGAGGATAAGGAAGCAGAAGAGTATACCGACAGTGATAAAAGGTTCACAAAATAAAGTATTCTATTAATTTTATTTAAGGTCACAATTGCCCACTTATCTTGTTAAAAAAATAATTGAACCTTTCGCAGACAGAATTCAACGATTTCGTCGAGTGAAGTTATCTTGCCGGACTGAATCTATTGAATTCGTCGGGTAAACTTTTTAGGGTTTAGGGTTTAAGATATGAACTCGTTGGGCAAATAAATTCATTGGCCAATGTCAAAGGATTTCGTCAGACAAATGTTTGGGCATTTTCATATATCCAATTCTTTCGAGGATTTTCACAGTCGGCAAAATTAATTTCCATGATCCAATCGTGAATGTAGTTGGTATATACTACATGATTAAATACACCAAAAATATTTGTCTGATGAAATCCATCGACAGTAAGAAATGAAAATTCAAGATTTAATGGTTATTTCAGTTCTGATTTTGATGGTTTTTTACAACTACACTCCTTGACCCTAAAAGAATACAATAAATTGATAGGATCATCAATTTAAAATATTTACAATAGTAGTTACCACAAAATGATATATTGCACTTAACAGAACTATAGAATAAACTCTAAGTGTTGGTTGAATATATTGTTTTGTCAGGATATGCACTCTAAAAAATTCATTTCCAATATCCAACTGCCAAATTTGTTTGTTTGAATATAGTACGAGATCACATACACCAAAAATGACCAAAAAACAAACTTTCAGAGATCAAGGATAGACCTGGCATTCGTGTCATTTTTGTGTCATACCCGATATCTTAACGGGTTGTATCGTGTAACACTCGTTAAAATAAACAAGTAATATGACCCGACTCGACTCGAAATTGACCCATTAATAGTAACAGGTACTATGATCCGACCCAGTACGCATTAAAGAAAATATATTTTAAATTAATAAATAAGTGAGATAGAATCCAACGGTAACCATTTAATCTCACATAAGTGAGACTAAATCCTATGGTTATCGTTTAAGTAAGGTTTTTTAATTATACAGAAGTGTGAAAAATAAATAAATAAATATATAAATGCTGGTAATGACAAGCTTTACAACTTTCGTGAAGGGCTTAACTCTAAAATTCGCTACTATAATCACATAAACCTTCGACAGTTAAATTTGAATCTAAGGTTTATGAATTATGGTGTCAAATTTCGAAGTTGACTCCTTCACGAAAATTGTAAAACTTGAGTGCTTGTATATTTTTTATTTTTTTTACATATTTCACACTTCTACAATAATTATTAAGAGTTTTATTAATTTTGCACTCAAATAAAAAATACTAGTCATGAGGTTGGAGGATTTTAAAATTTTAAACAACAATATAACTATCGTCTAAGCGTAGAGGATGCAATCACGTGGGTTTATATATTCATTCACAGTTGTACATTAGTGATTATGATTTTTTATTTATTTTGAAATCCCTTAAAATTACTATTCACGAAAGTTTGTAAGGTTTTCAAATTCAAATGACGATGCACCCATCAACTCAATCACCGGCATCTACATATATTTTCACATTTTTCTCACTTATAATTGATTATTATAATTTTTAAATATGTTTGGAATTTTTAAACTACTTGATATTTTTATTTTTTAATGTGTTTTATAATTTTTTTTTAATCTCACTTTTAAGAGGCCGATAAAACATTTATGTGTATGTATCACATCTCGGCCCGGGCCCCCACCACATTCGGGACTCTACTCTGCCGTAGCACGATATTGTCTGATTTGGGCTCCGACCACCCCCTCACGGTTTTGTTTTTGGGAACTCACACGAGAACTTCCCAGTGGGTCACCTATCTTGGGAATGCTCTGGCCCAAACTCACTTAACTTTGGAGTTCTGATGGAACCTGAAGCCAGTGAGTTCCCAAAAGGTCTCGTGCTAGGTAGAGATAGGAACATACATATAAGGCTTACAGGATCCACTCCCCTGAGCGATGTGTGACGTCACAGTATGACTGAATGAGAGAGTAAAAAACTTTGTTACATCATTGACTCTAAAATTGAAACTCTATCTTTTTGCCTATGCTATACTAGTTGATTTGAATTTTAGACAACATGTGAGTAAAATTTATCTTAACCCTTATGTTAAAACCTAAAATTTTTAACCTAAAAAATTTAGGTTTTAACCCGGAAACAGTTTCTGACACACCCCGATCCTAGAATCAAGGTGTGCTGGCCATCAAGTGGGCGTGACGTAACCAAAAGTGTGATGAGGAAGCAAAAGATAAAAGAGATACGAAGGAATAAAAACCAACTACTAGCAATAATATCCAACTAACGTGCTAGAGTGAGTTTAAGTGTGAAACACACATATTCAGAGCGTAAATACTAAGTGCAGTCAAGTAGGACCATAACTAAATTACAACACCCGAAGGTGAGTCCTACATTTAAGTAGTCTGTCAGTACACCGTGGGAATACTCGTGGGCCACCAACACTACTAACTAGAACCTGGAGGGGCGCAAAACAAGATTAAGTGGGTCAGTAAAACAAAGCTTTTCGAAAATATTTCATTAAACAACACTTCTAACCCCTCACTGTAAAACCTGTATACTTTCCTAGAAAAATAGTATATACATAATCATATATCACAGCAAAACTCCAATCACAAGTCTTTAACACTTTTCAAGAATATGCCATGCTATGATTCAAAACATGATAAGGATGCATCAATATAACAGGTGAAATAATGAATCAACCGGAGACCCTGCAGCTGTCTCATACGGTTAATTCTATAGCTCAATATCCAACCCAACCGGAGTCACTACTGTGACCTGTACGACACTACTCTGCACATAAATCGGAAGTACCTGAAGTAGTCTGTACGATAAGAATGGTGTAAGAATACGCTCCAGTGCTTCTCTCATCAACAGCTGTATAATAATCTAAAGTCACCTACAAGTCGGAACCACCTCTAATGGTCTGTACGACATGTCGGAACCACCTCTAATGGTCTATTCAACATGCACCTACTTGGATCCAAGGTGAGCGTGTGGTGCAGGGTGAATAATATAAGAACTAACACCAAGGGTGCAGGTGAGCTCTCAACACAATTCACATCATCAATAAACCATACGAACATAAAACTCACCTGATACTCACATGTGCGTCCACAGCACCATTTCACATATATGCATCAAATACTAACTCATATATTTCATATAATATGCATGCATGGCATTTTAAAATATACTTTCATTTATATTCAATTTCTGAGAAAAATCAGTAGTATATAGGTTTAAACAGAAAATAACTACGCACTCATTGGTAAGTTGAAGGGTCGTAACCCCCGTGACACCCTTGAATGTGCTCGTCCTCGTGATAGGTCTCACCTATATGCGAAACAACTATAAAAACGTTATTTAAAGCACATAACCAACAATACGTAATAACTTCTCATACGATGCTCAAATTGGGTATATGAATATACTATAGTGACCTACTCGACGTCACAGACGTCGAGGTATTTGTAGAAAAAAAATTAATGGCTCACACGCCCCCATACGCGTCATCTCATTCCTACAGTCGCCGGACTGGTTTCGCCGGCGATGGAAAAGTCGCCGGTTTCTGGAGAATTTTCAAACTCCTTGTTCTCCGTCAATTCTCAACCATTTTTTATGCATTTATACCAAAATGAAGCCCTAAGCATGTAGAATCACGATGTACTACTTTAAGGCTAAAAAATACACAAAATCTCACCGGAGAAAATCCAAAAAAACCGGCCAACTTCGAACCCTACGATCCCGACGTCCAAAACCTTCAAACTAAGTACTCCGAGCTTCCTTGGGACCTCACTAAACTCCCTGTAGGCTTAGAATTCCCTGAAAACCAACATTTCAAATGTGCATGAACAGTGCTCAAATCGGACCTTGAGTTTTCAACCTGAAATCGAAAGGTTTCTTACCTGAAATGGGTATGGATGCGTTCGTAGGTACCTCATGAACACAATGATGCCCTTGAAACCTTTGATCCGTGCCTGGATGTTCATGGGTGGGTGTGTCCGTACAGTCGAAGGAAGAGAGAGAGAAACTGAGAGGGAAGAGAGAGAGGGCATGGGGGAGAGAGTGTGAGGTTTGTTTTGAGTGTGTGTGTCCTTCCCCTAACCACACAAAATGCAAACCAATTTTTAATCCAATTCAATTTTCCAAAAACCTAGGAATGTATGAATTATTCAAATACACAAGTCACACATACCTTAGTAACCTTTAAGGGCAATTCCGTCAAATCACATCCAAGATAACTGAACTTTCGGGACGGGCTGTGACAGTTTCTCTCCTCCAACCTTTCCGGGTTAAATTGACACACCCCGATTCTAGAATCAAGGCCTGTTGGCCATCACGTGAGCGTGACGTAAACAAAAGTGCGACACGGAAGCAGTAGATAAGAGAAATACGAAGAAATAAAAACCAAATACTAGCAATAAAATCCAATTAGCATGCTAGAGTAAGTTTAAGTATGAAACACACATATTCAGAGCATAAGTACTAGGTGCAGTCAAGTAGGACCATAACTAAATTACAACACCCGCAGGTGAGTCCTACATATATGTAGTCTGTCAGTACGCCGTGGGAATCCTCGTGGGCCACCAACACTGCTATCTAGAACTTGGAAGGGCGCAAAACAAAATTGAGTGGGTTAGTAAAACCAAAGTTTTACTAAAACATTTCAAATAATAACATTTCTAACCCCTCGCTGTAAAACCTGTATACTTTCCCAGAAAATAACATAATATGCATATACTTCTTCAAATATCTCAACTCACCAATCTTTATCAAAACCCAGAAAATATGCCATGCCATAAATGTCAATAACAGATTAAGAATGCATCAATATAACAGGTGACATAATGAATCAACCGGAGACCCTGTAGTAGGTCCTGTACAGTTAATTCCATAGCTCAATATCCAAACCAACCGACGTCACCACGGTGACCTGTACGGCACTACTCTGCACATAAGTCGGAACTACCTGAAGTAGTCTGTACGACAAGAATGGTGTAATAATACGCTCTAGTGCTTCTCTCATCAATCATCTGTGCACATAATCTAAGGTCACCTACCAGTCGGAACCACTTCTAGTGATCTATACGACTAGCATGTCGGAACCCTCTCATGGTCTGTATGACATGCACCTACTTGGATCCAAGGTGAGCATGCGGTGCGGTGAATATTATAAGCACTAACACCAACGGTGCAGGTTATGAGCTCTCAACACAATTCACATTACAATAAATCATATGAATAACATAAAACTCACCTGATACTCACCTGTGCGTCCACAGCACCATTTCATATATATATGCATCAATTACTAATTCATATAATTCATAATATGCATGCATGGCATTTTAAAAACATACTTTCATTTAAATTCAATTTCTGGGAAATTCAGTAGTATATAGGTAATAACAGAAAATAACTGCCCATCACTGATAGGTCGAAGGTTCGTAACCCCGTGACGTCCTTGAATGCGCTCGTCCTCGGGATAGGTATCACCTATATGCGAAACAACTATAAAAACGTTATTTAAAGCACATAACCGACAATACGTAATAACTTCTCATACGATGCTCAATTTGGGTATATGAATATACCACAGTGACCTACTCGACGTCACGGACGTCGAGGTATTTTTAGAAAAAAATTTCGAGGCTGCACGCACCCCCACACACCGGGAGGGGCACGGACCCACGTGCCCCCACGCACGTCACCTTTTTCCTCTAGTCGTGGGACTGGTTTTGCCGGTCGCCGGAAAACTGGAGATTTTTCATTCTCCTTGTTCTCCCTCATTTCTCAACCATTTTTCACGCATTTTATATCAAAATGAAGCCCTAAGCATGTAGAATCATCTCGTACTAGTTTAAGGCTCTAAAAATGATGAAATCTCACTTGAGAAATTCCAAGAAAATCGGCCAACTTCGAACTCAGTGATCCCGACGTCCAAAACCTTCAAACTAAGCACTCCGAGCTTCCTTAGGACCTCACTAAGCTCACTGTAAGCTTAGAATTCCCTGAAAATCAACAATTCACGTATGCATGAACAGTACTCAAATTGGACCTCGAGTTTTCAACGTGATATCGAGGGTTATAAGTTCTAAAAATTGCACCATTCAAATCAGGAGGTTGAAAGGATGAAGAACCTCACCTTTTTTACGTCGATCCGTGAAGATTGGAGGGTTTTGTGCTTTGGTCCGTACGGTTTCGAGAGGAAGAGAGAGAATTGCGAGGGAGGAGAGAGAGCACGGGGGAGAGAAAGAGAAGGTGTCCCGTGTGTGTGTGTGTGGTCCATCCCAAAACAAGTCCAAACTTTCATTCCCTAACCACACAAATTGCAAATAACTTTTAATCCATTTTAAATTTTCCAAACTTAGGAAAATATGTATTATTCGCTAACAAGTCACACACATACCTTAGTAACCGTCAAGGGTACTTTCGTCATTTCACAGCCTCGATAAATAGAATCATGGGACGGGCTGTGACATAAATTTTTAGTTCGAGATTATTAAAGAATGAATTTAGGAAAAATATTTTCTTAAAGTAACATTTTGAAAAGAAAAAAATTATGTAGACTATCCTAATTTAATTTTATGAACATTTTAACTAAAAATATTAAGATTCAGATAAATATTGCAAAATCACCAAACTGACACCATAAAACTCGTGAAACACTATGAAAGAATATGAAACACATAAAAAATTTTATTTTTAATTACTTTAGCCGTTAGATTTAAACTTGGACCGTCAGATCTTCTTTTTTACCATTGGCTTTGATCATTTTAGATCTTAGCTGTTAGATTAAATGAATTTATAAATTAATATTAAACTAAATAAAACTGCACATATATGGTGGGTTAGCCCCCACTAACCTTTTTTTTTTGGGGGGGGGGGGGAATCCTAGCCTAAATTTTCTTAAGAAATGAGTTTTGGGTTAAAACTCATATTTGTCCGAAGGGTTGGAGTAAGTTAGGCTAAGTTTGGAACTTAAAATTTGAGTTTGATTCCAAGGGTTGGAGTAGGTTTAATAAAAATAATAAATAAAACTTAATTTTTTTTCCAACTTATATAGAATAATAATACAATAATGCATATGTAATATATATAAACTATGGCTATAGTATTTTATAGTAAATTTTTTAATAGTTTAAAATCATTAAAATATTTTTTTCTTAATAGTTTAAAATCATTAAAATATTTGGACTTTGATCGACGAATTAAGTACATTTCGTAGGACAATGGAACCTCAATCCGTCAGGTAAATATTCTATTTTCGTTGGGCACGTCTAAAAGTTTTCTCCCTCTCCCGAATTTTTTTCCCCAAGAGTCAAATTTCCCTCCAATTTTTGGGTTTGCCCAATGAATTCCTACGTATTTCATCGGGCAAATATTTTTTCCCACCATTTTTTTTTTTGCCAAAGTTTATAGCTTGCGGATTTTGTATGAAACCCTTACCCAACGCATCTTTTCGTCAAACAAACCCTAACTAATACACGTGTTCACGCCCTGATGTTTATATCAAGCCAAGACCTCTTATTCTTGCAACAACTTTTATAATCTCTCTCCCCCCCCCCCTTTTTCTCCCAACAAAACAAATCCTGCCACTACAATCTCGCCTCCCGCCCTAGATCTCACAATTTCCATCTCTATAACTCTCAAACTCTCACAAATGTATGATATTTATTCCCAATTATTTTGAATTTTTATTTATACTGTGATTTTGTGAATTATAATTTATATTGTGAATATGTAATTAATATATGTGAATCTTTAAGAGAATTTGTGAGTTAGAAAATTGGGGAGATTATGTTGGGATGGGTTTGAGAGGGGGGAAGGGTTTGGGACGCAGGGGGATGGTTTGAGGGTTCACGGGTTGGGCCAAGGGTGCGGGAAGGACGGGTTTGGAAGGGTTGTGGGACGGGTTCAGGAGGGTGATAGGTTAGGGGTGGTACGGGAGGACGAGGGGAGTGGGGAATGGATGGGTTTGGGGGAGGGGGAAGGAGACTATTACAAACTTTTAAAAAATACTCATAACAATTTTTATATACATTATAAATTAATTGGAAATATTAGAAGTTTCTAGGAAATATAATAAAGTTTTGATATATTATAAATTTTTACAAAATATTAGAAATTTTGGGAAAATTTGGAACTTTTAGAAATTGTTTTTTAATTTTTTTCATAGATGCCAAGGGCAATATCCATACAAGGGATGGAGGAAGAATGAGGGTTGACTACAAGCCAAGAACATATGAGTGCACACCCCCAAGTTCATGCAATATTTAACTATTTGAGACAATTACTTATTACTTAACATATTTTTGTGGCCAACACTTCTTTTTTCTCTATTTCAAAGAGACTTCGACTTTGACCTGGAAGTGTCAGGCATGTCGAAGTACATAACCCGACAGTGGAATGATCAGTTTAAGGAGTGGAAGTACAAGCTACGCAATCACTACTTGACTTTTGAAAGTCACTATGAAGCCCTGATCCATCCACCAAACGAGTGGCACTGGCTCTGCAGTTATCTTCGAAATTTATAAATTCTGAAAATGGACGTCTTCTAGCGTGAAGAAGTTTCCCATTAAGAATAAATTTGTTTTTCAATTTTAATACAATTGTACGAGTATTTTGGTTTTATTAATGAAAATATTATAATACTAATAGAATAAAAATTAATTGTTTAAATTTAACACAATATTTTACTTTTTATTTTCTTAATATTAAATAATGTATGCTCGACGAACAGAGGGAAGCAAATATTTCATCGTTTAATAGTATGATTACTGAAATTGATACCAGGCAGAATGTCTTGCAATAATATATGTTAATGGATTCTATAGTTATATTTCTACCCTGAACCACTGAAGACGGACTCTAATGCATAACAACAATTAGACTAACAAATTATTAAGAGCATACTCTTGTTTAAGTGATAGATACTAAACTATACACCCAATCAACAATGTATATAGTGCACCAACAGTAATATATACATTAATAATCAGAATATCACACAAAGGTATTTGTGCCCGGAAAACTCCAAACTGGGTAAAAACCGGGGGAACTCTAGAGAGAGCTTCATTCACTAGCAGAATATCAAGTTCATACTAGAATCATTCACTCATAAGCTTAATTCCTAACCTATGCTAAAGGAGCAGCTTATACCTCTTATGCAACTTAAGATTCTTCTTGGGGTCCATGCAGGGTCTTCACAGCAATGGCAGCCCACGCTCAAGCTCCTTGACCTGTGGCACTGGCACCAATGAGAAATCAATACAGCTAAAATGATATGGAGCTGAAGATTCAATAACTGCACAAATCTCTCTTAATCGAACATCAACAAATTGAGAGAATTTGGGATGAATCTATACCTACAGTTCTAATAATGAGAGCAACTTGTTAGTATGTAAGTTGTTGAGCTGATTAGAAAACATTACAAGGTTGTTATGTGTGTTATGTCTCAGCTCATAGGCTGAGCTATTGTGTAAAAATGTGATGTGTTGATTAAGTCTCATAGGGCTTATCATTTGACAAGTGTCTTGATCTTAAGATAGGTTGTTATGGTTGGTTGAGATTGAATTGAGGTTATGTCTCTCTCTCTCTCATCTCCATCAGTTACGTGTCTCTTCAAGCTCATATGCTCAGTATGAAATACAATGATAGAAGTTCAATAGTTATGCTTTGTGTGTGTTCTTCCTCCGAATTCATCTTCTAAATCTTTCCGAATATCTCTCTCAAATACTGTTAGATTTACTGTGTAGTTGTGTTACTTTATTCTAACATGGCCTCAGAGCCAGGTTGGATCTAAACTTCTGGCGTCATTTCTATGAGTGAGGTTAGCTCGGATTCACAGCAAAAGCTTATTGCAGTGATTCAAGTGTCCAACATGGCTGGATCTGGAGGAGGAGAACTTCGAGCGCCAATCTTCAATGGCGAGAATTTTGATTTCTGGCAAATCCAAATGAAGACCATCTTTCACTCGTATGAACTGTGGAATATGGTTGAGAGTGGGTACAGAGCTCCGACGAAGGAGGAGGAACTCAGAGAGGCGGAGAGAAAGCTGTTGCGAGAGAATGTGGTCAAGCATGCTAGAGCACTGGGTATTATTCAAGGTGCCGTTTCAGATCAAATTTTCATGAGGATTGCAACTCAGGAAAGTGCGAAGGCTGCGTGGGACATCCTGAAACAAGAGTTTGTTGGTGATAAGCAAGTAAGATCTGTGAAACTTCAAGGTCTTAGGTGAGATTTTGAATATACTAGCATGAATGATAGTGAATCTCTTTCTGTGTATATTGCTTAATTGTTTGATCTGATTAATCAAATGAAGAGCTATGGTGAAGATCTGAGTAATCAAAGAATTGTTCAGAAATTGTTAATCAGTTTACCTTAGTCCAATGATAGTATTGCAGCTGTGATAGAGAATACTAAGGATTTAGACACCATAGATGCACATGATGTTGTAGCTATCTTGTAGGGGTATGAACAAAGGTTGGATAGACATGGAAATAGTAGTATGGAGAAAGCATTTGCTAGTTTGAAATTTGCCCCGAAGTCCAAAAAGTTCAATGGCAAGCCAAATAGTAACAAATATCACAAGAATTTTAAACCAAAAGAGAAACAATGGAGTAACAAGGGTGACTGGAGTAATAAGGTTGGATTCACTATGAAGAATGAAGCAAACAACACTGGGGATAAGTGTAAATTCTGTGATAGACTTCACTATGGAGAGTGTTGGGTTAAAAACAAAGTCAAGTGTCACAAGTGCAACAAAATTGGGCATATTGCAAGGTACTGTAATGCGAACAAGACTGTGCAACAGGTGAACTTTGCTAATCAGGTTGATGAAATTGGAAATCTGTTTTATGCAAATCATTCTGGAGAAGTGAAGAAGATAAATGATGAATGGTACATAGATAGTGGATGTAGTAACCATATGACATTCAGAGAAGACTTGTTGATATTGATAGAGGAGTGAAAGCCATGGTCCAAGTTGGCACTGCAGTCTTGGTTGAAGTTGAAAGGAAGGGAACACTGATCATTGAAACAATAAAGGGTCAAAGATATATAAAGGAAGTTATGCTTGTGCCTGGTCTTGCAGAAAATTTGCTAAGTGTGGGACAAATGACTGAGCACGGTTACTTTCTTTTATTTGGAGATTATAAAGTGGATGTGTTCGATGATAGATCTTTACAAAACTTGGTGGTCAGTGTGAAGCAGAAAGGAAATAGATGTTTTCCTTTAATTCTCAACACAAACAAGGAGCTTGCATTGAGGACAAATGTGCAGGAGTGTGTTAGGATATGGCACAAGAGGTTTGGTCATCTCAATTTCAGCAGTCTCAAATTATTACAGAGTCAAGGGATGGTTTTGGGATTGCCTGAAATCCAAGACAGTGAAACTGTGTGTCAAAGTTGTGCACTGGGGAAGAATCACAGGGAACCATTTCCCAAAGAATCAATGTGGAGAGCAAAGGAACCACTTGAATTAATACACTTAGATGTGTGTGGTCCCATGCAAACATCACGTATAAGTGGAAATTGATACTTTATTACTTTCATAGATGATTATTCAAGAATGTGCTGGGTATATTTCTTGAGAAACAAATCAGAGGCCTTCTATGTGTTTAAGAAATTTAAAGCCATGATTGAGCTTCAAAGTGGATACCATGTAAAGAAACTGAGAACAGATAGAGGAGGAGAGAGTTCAACTCAAATGATTTTGGAAAGTTTTATGAAGATTTGGGGATAGAAAGACATCTCACAATTGCATACTCTCCACAACAGAATGGAGTAGCAGAAGGGAAAAACATGACAATTGTGGAGATGGCAAAATGCATGATTCATGAGAAAGAACTTCCATACAATCTCTGGTGTGAAGCAGTAAACACATCTGTGTATCTGCTAAACAGAAGTCCTACAAAGGTAGTGAAGAACACTACACCTTTTGAGAAATTCAGTGGAAGAAAACATGGGGTTAAACACTTGAAAGTGTTTGGTTCAGTATGTTATTCTCTTATTCCAAGGAATCTAAGGCACAAATTAGAAGAAACAAGTGTCATGGGTGTTTTCATTGGATATGGTACTTGTGAAAAAGGGTATAGGGTACTGAATCCTTTAACTTAAAAGGTCTTGTTATCCAGAGATGTAATTTTTGATAAGAATGGTAGATGGGACTAGGAGAAACACAAAGTCAAGGAAGTTTGATAAAATTGAATCTTTAAATTTTGATAAAATTGATAAGATGTCTGGATCTCATGAACAAGGAGGATCTGATGGGTCTCAAATTCAAGTTGGAAGTTCTCCAGTCACTGCCATTGGTGAATTAAGTAGCTCACTGGTCTCACCTCAGTATGATAATACTCCACTGAGGTATAGGAACCTAAGTGAGATCTATAAGAGATGCCACCTATGTATTGTTGAACTTGAGTCCTTTAATGAAGCTGCATAGGATGAAGCATGGAAAAAGGCAATGAAGCATGAAATGAATATGATTGAGAACAAGGCTATACTTGCTGCAAAAGGCTATGCACAAAAGCTCGAAATTGATTTTAATGAGACTTTTGCACCTGTTGCAAGATTAGCACAGTTAGAACTTTAATTGCACTGGCAACAAAGAATAAATGGAAGTTATTTCAACTAGATGTGAAATCAACTTTTATGAATGGTGTATTAGAAGAAGAGGTATATGTTGAACAGCCGGATGGGTTTGTGGTGCAAGGAGAGGAAGAAAAGGTTTACAGACTACATAAAGCTTTGTATGGTCTAAAACAGGCACTTAGGGCCTGGTATGGTGAAATAGACTCGTACCTTATGCTTTATGGGTTTAAGAAAAGCATTAGTGAGGCAACTTTGTACACCAAGTGCAAGGGAGACACAGAATTGATCATAGTATCCATCTATGTTGATGATATTATATATACTGGAAAGTGTCAAGAGTTAATGGATGTTTTCAAAACTGAGATGATGCATAAGTATGAGATGACATATCTTGGTCTTACACCATTTTCTCGGTATGAGAGTGATACAAACTGATGAGTGTATTTCATTCATCAAAGAAACTATGCTTTATCTTTACTGAAAAAATTTGGACTCCAGGATTGCATATATGTGAGTACTCCCTTGGTTCTAAGTGATAAACTGAGAAAAGAAGATGGAAGTGAAGCTGCAGATGAAGCTCAGTATAGACAGATTGTAGGTAGTTTGTTGTATCTCACAACAACTAAACCTGATATAATGTATGCTACTTGTCTATTATCTCAGTTTATGCATTGTCCCACTAACAAGCACTATGGAACAGCAAAAGGAGTATTGAGATATGTTCAAGGAACTCTTGATTTTGGTTTGGAATACAAGAAAGGTGAAGGAACACTCTTAATGGGATACTGTGACAGTGATTGGAGTGGCTCAAAGGATGATATGAAAAGCACATCCGGGTATGCTTTTACTTTTGGCAATGGGATTTTCTCTTGGTCTTCAGTCAAGCAACAATGTGTTGCATTATCCACAGCCGAAGCAGTATATCAGTGCTTCTGAAGCAACAGCACATGCTACTTGGTTGAGATTTGTTCTAGAGGATTTTGGTGAAATGCAAACAGTTACAACACCAATGAATTGTGACAATACATCAGCCATACCCATCACTAATAATCCTATCTTTCATCAGAAGACCAAGCATATAAACAAAAGATATCACTTCATAAAGGAAGCATTGCAGCAATGAGTAATTGATTTGATTCACTGTCCTACTAAGGAGCAAATAGCAGATATTTTTACGAAAGCATTGACAAGGGAGCAGTTCACTTACTTGAGAGATCTTCTTGGAGTGAAATTAGTTCACAACTTAAACGGGAGTGTTAGTATGTAAGTTGTTGAGCTGATTAGAAAACATTACAAGGTTGTTATGTGTGTTATGTCTCAGCTCATAGGCTGAGCTATTGTGTAAAAATGTGATGTATTGATTATGTCTCATAGGGCTTATGATTTGACAAGTGTCTTGATCTTAAGATAGGTTATTATGGTTGGTTGAGATTGAATTGAGGTTATGTCTCTCTCTCTCTCATCTCCATCAGTTAAGTGTCTCTTCGAGCTCATATGCTCAGTATGAAATACAATGATAGAAGTTCAGTAGTTATGCTCTGTGTGTGTTCTTCCTCCGAATTCATCTTCTAAATCTTTCCGAATATCTCTCAAATACTGTTAGATTTATTGTGTAGTTGTGTTGCTTTATTCTAACATAGCTTGCTCGACTGCTATATCACTATAATTTCTGAGATATCACCAGTTGATTTAACACACAATGATCTAGGTTTTTCTAGGAGATGCGGAGCAAAAGCCATTCCTCGAGTTAGAGAACACCCTATATATACTACACAAGACCTAAAGAGAGAAGATCATCAATACCACACAAAAATACCAGTTGATGTGTGGATATTTTGGTGAAAGTCATTAGCTGCAACCAACTCATATCTTAAACATGGACGAACAAATGCTTGACCATGCATACAAACATCAGGCAATAATTTGTGAATATTCAGATGAATATGCAATGCGTGATCCAAACTTGTAGCATTAATTGCCCCTTTAGTGACTTAAACCTAATGATTGAGCTTGGTTTAATAAAAAGAATATATAGATTACATGATTGTAGGAAGAGTATGATCAGTAGTACTAAGAATCCAAAACAAAACTATAAAATGCCCCCTAAACTACCCAGATGAACTATTCCTCCTCGTCGGAAAGCCCAACATCCATCCCCATGTTGTCATTAACACACCCTGCAAGATCATCTTCAGTGTCAACCTTAGAGTCACTACCAAGGAAAACCTCACCAGCCGGTGGCTGAATTAAAAATTTAAGCCGAAGACTAATGATTGTACCTCCATTGAATTAGTTTATTTCTTCTAAATTCTGATCCTACAAGCATACATGTGTGCGTACATTGGAATATGAACAATTTTTTAATACTGCTACTGTTACTCCGAATTGTTTATATTCTAGAGTTTTAGGGAGCTGTCGGATACTAGCTATGCCTAACATGTGAAATGGGTGCATAAGGATGTTGTGCTCAGTTTGGAATACGATCATGAAATTGAAAAAGTTTATCATACCAAAGCTTAGAGATATTTATTGATAACACTGGAGGCTTATGATGTGGCAGCAAAATTCCGCTGTCTTCAGTCTTGACAAATTTGTACCTATAAAACAAATAAACACCTATGACCAAGGCTACAGCCTCACGTGCCCATGAGGTGGAGGGGATTTGGCCAATGGATCTCGGATACCTAGTCAGTTCCTCTGAAAAGAAAGAGAGTTTAGGGCTTAAGTGCATAGTCAAAGCTTACCAAAGATAGGTGGAGATGAGGTATTTATAGGAGATAGGTCGGCCACGTGTGTAGGGTTGCCCTGACATGTGTCGACATTTGATTGGCCAAGATGAGTCATCCGTAGGATGGATGAGGAAAAAATTATCCCAAAAATATTATTTATGATATTATTTAATAAATAATACCTTGGGATTACCTTTGAAATACACTTGATTGGATATGATTGTGATTCCTTGCTTGATTGAGTTGATCTTCAATTAAAAGAGTATTAAAGATGAGATCATACATTTTCCCCTTGCCATGGGCAAGAGAGCATAGAGCAATCGTAGTCAGCAGCTTCGGTCTTCTTGAGGGTTGAACTGTATGTAGAGCAAATGAGGGCCTTGCCAGAACTAACTCCAAACCTTTATATTTATGTTCACCTTGACATGGGAAACATAAATATGGGTTTGCATGTTGAGTGGAATGATTGTAACGAGTAGAACCAGAAGCCTTGAGCTATATGACGATGATTGAGCCTAAATCCAACAAAACTGAGCTCTATCTTGGCTCCATCAAATCCTAGGTAAGCTTTATAATAGTTGTGCAGTGTTTTGAGTTGAGATTTTCAAGGTTTTGACCTCATGTATGCACTAATTTCCATTTCTAGTTTC